TTTTAATTTTTCAAGTTTTTAATAAAAAAAACTTTACGTTTTAATTATTGTAATTTGAATATTTAAGCGAAATATTGTCGTGTTGGGGTTTTAATATTTGTTTGCTATCATCACATAAACTATGTAGGTACCTACCTACTATTAAAACCTTGTTTTTGTTATTGATTTAGGTGTCTAAAAATATTTTATTTCAATGGTTTACAGTTACATTTTTTATCGCTTTTATGTAGCATAATAGCAAGCTAAAGGCGAACATGTAAGTATGAATCTTCTATCCTTTATGCTCAATATCCCCATTTGACTATCGCTTACCTACATAATTGTTTATAAGTACATAAATATAAGGACAAAAACTTCTTCTTCTTATTAAATACTTATTGGTAATTAATTTTATTTATCTAATGATCATATTATGATGGATAGTTCTTTTCTTTAAAATATTTTCAATTTATTGTTTTAAATATGTATGTAGTTACCTACGCAATCATTTAACGCCATGTGCAAGCACCTGTTAGTGCAAATAATTAAATAATATTACTTATTATATAAACACTGTACTTACTTACAAACCAGAAATTTATATTAATTTAATTGTACTTATGTTTTGTTTTTCAGAAATATTTATTCGTATAGTGATCATTAAATAGGTATGTAAAGTGTTAAAAAAACCTATAATATTTGAACGAAGACGTGCACAACTGGTTAGGGGTTGTCTGTTATCAAATAGTAAGTTTCGCGAGAACTTTCTTAAGCGATAGGATCGGGCGCTAGAGGCAGAGATCGGCGCCGGAGCCAGTAACGTGATCTGAAGCGCGCGGCGCAGATAAAGCCGCGCCTAATTGAGACGGAGGCGACTAATTATACGTAATATACCCGCCGTTAACACTCCATTAGCATAAATAAGCGTGACAAATTTACTCGAGACGCTGTTGTTTGTTTTACGATTTATTTATTCGTCTCGGAAGCATGGAAAGCGTGGAATGTGCCCGAAAACGCCGATAAGTGATGTAAAGGACGCAAGGCGTGTTTACAAACAGCGGCGGCGGCGGCTAATGGGGCTATTTGCGGCTAGCTTCTAATTCTCAGCTTTGCCATCCATTGTTTATTTCCATCGCGCTGCGACGTGATTAACGCGCTGTAGAAATAGCTAGTTTGTAATCCACGGTTCTATCAACGCGGAAACTATTTTAATGCTATAAAATTACAGAAAAACAAATAAGAGCAACTTCTCTAGCGGCCCCATTAAGCCAACTACGGAGTTTACTTAACCAAAAATATTACAATAATTTCAAGAAATAAGTTGATCAATACTTAGTCTTAGTCAGGGATTTAGTTGAAGAAGAAACAAGTTTAGGTGTGATGTCTGCGCGAGATGAAGCAGTGTGGTTATGAACATACACTGCACACATAAAACGTGCAAATAGACTAGGTAACACTAAAGTGAATGAGCATACAGACGCGGGCGCCGGACACGTGTTCGCTATCGAGTTCTTGCTCGCGACAGCTGCTATAACACATCTCTCACTTGAGCGCCGACAGAACATACCTACTTTTAACCAAAATAAAACAAAACACAATCAATTAAGTTGTCGTTTTCATGTAAACCACAGTTTAATTGTATTTTCAGCAGGAAGTGTTGTATTTGGTGGGTAAATGAAATACGGTAGATTGTTTTATAAGTAGTATTTATTTTGAGCCCGCTCTTGAAGCTATTCACAATTTATTCTATAGATACATTACAATACGCGAGCACAGAGCGACCATTACCGGCTATTTGTAAGACAATAATACTCGCAAGCAATTCGCATCAAACGCAAATAACTCACTTGTAACCTTGCCGCGTCGCCGCTACGTTGATTTAGCACTTACGAGTAGGTCCGAGCCGTGGTCCCCAACACTCGATCCCCAGCTCTGCGCTGCGCTCTATATGTTTAAATCTGTACAATTTAATTCAAACTCTTTTGTAAACATTTAACGTTACAAAACACTACATCGCTGGTAGAGCGCTAGCTTGCAAGTGTTGCAAATATGCAAGTATATGTACCCCCGTATCCATACACTTTCCTTTACAGGCGCCTACCTATGATTTAGGAAATCTCTTTCATAACTATAATAATCGTATTATATACTTAATAAATCAAATACAATATAATCATATTAAAGTGGAAATACTAAAGGAATATTTATAAATACGGGTAGTACAGATTGAACATAAAGTCGAGTCCAGCGAGCTGTTAACTCGCAAATAATCCATGAAGCGACTGATCCCGCGGGGCCGCGCGGCGCGCCGGCCGGCCGAGGCGCGGCGAGGGCGACTGCTAATTATGACTCCCATCAAATAAAACATGATTTAAATATCTATGTTATTTTATCTATTATTAATGTAACTACATACATATCATGTATCCAAACAAACATCTTAATTCTATTTTAAATTAATATTACGTACATATCGAAAACACAATATTCTTTATATTTAGATCTTTTATAGGATATAAAATAAATAGCATTTTAATACTTCTAAGGAAGACAATAATTGTGTTACAATTATTTGTATAACATATCAAATTAAGTGTAAATAAGAAAAGTAGAGAATCTCGCTAAGTCGCCTCGCCTCGGCGCGACCCCGAAACCCGCTCGGCTCGCGGACACTCGCAGCTCTAACATAATAATACATTACATAATATCTATATGTACACCTACGCTACCTTACGCTACGTGCGGTCGCCACCTCTCTAACATACGGTACGTATTTACATACGGGCGGCTCCGTCCCCTGGCACACGGCGACACACTACAGTCTACACAAAACAATGTAATCTATTGTATCTTAACCTCTCTAAAACATAGGTTTGAGGGACTGTGTGATGGGAGTGGGACATGGGACTGTACATTACCTATAGCTTGTAGATCTCTAATTTTAAATAACAAAACATGACATACTGTTTATCAATTTTCAAGAAAATGGGTTTTTACTTTATATCCAGTAAGTAGATATGTTTTGTGTAGCCGTTTGAACGAAGCCTTACATTATAATACTCTACATACTAAGGGTACCTTTTGCCGTCGGTAGAGTGCACGCTGACTCGAACAGAATTATCACAGACGATTTCTACGCAAATTAATGAGGGATTTTACTGGGACTGTGCTCTGTTTTACGATTGAAATTAATTAAAAAGTACAGAAGCTTCATATAATATGTCCTTAAAGAAACTATTCTAATCATTACAAATATATTACTATAAAGACACATTGCTACACTGTATGATAGAGCTTTTTGCTACGGCACCGAAGTACAAAATTAAAATTGAACACATTATAATAGAAATGATAAAGTGCGACTTGTTTATATAAAACCCTGCACATATTTTACAGTGAAAGTATCCAATCATATTTTGGACATTATGATTTTCTAATGTTACATGCAATAATTGCCCATAATAATTTTAATATATTGTCTGGGTCGTATAGATATTTTATAGGTATGTCTTATGTTCTAAGAAAATAGGTGGTACATACTAAATATGCACGGATCTAAAATTGTGAAATGTATTTTACACAAAGTAAGAGGAAGTGCCAATTTACAAAAATCAGACAATTGTAAACTTAAAAATAATATAAAATCGCTTTGCCTGCGCAAGAACAACGTTATTAGCTTTTGTATTTATATGAGTTATTTACAATATAATGTTCCAACCTCCAGGTATTACATAGCGCTTGTGTACACTCGTCATTCGCAGGATGCGTCGTTTCGCGGCAAGCTAAGGCTCCCACGGCGGCGGTCGCTTCTCGGAACTCTACGTAATTGCTCTACGTAAATGTTTTCCTTTTCTTATTAAAATAATTATAATAATCACTAACCGACTCTCTCGTTTTCAGTATTATAAGTTCGTTTAAATAAAAGGTATGTAATTGTCACAAGTGCTAGGTAAATAAGTGTAGGTAAATAAGAGTTAGGTATAAAATGTGTTTTGTTATTATGTAATAATTATGATTTTAACTGAGATCATTACATTAATTTCAAACGGAAAGCTCTTTGAGTTCTATTGTACTTTAAATGTTATAAACTTCTCTACGACAATGCCTATGCATGTGAAAATCTAAGAAACCTCTTCGTAGCCGCAAACGTCGAGCAAGTTATAACAACTCGTTTGTTCTGTCCCGCGCCGCCTTCGTGTTCACAATTTGCACCGCGACGTCTGACGACTTCGTTCCCGACATATGAGTTATTGCGAGAAAGTTGCGCTCGTCGTCTTTTTGTTTAATTACAATTGTATTCTAACTTTACCTCTAAATCAAACACTAATTATTCTGTTACAATAACTGAACAATAGATATGTACATTAAATATTTGCTATAATGTTACAGATATATATATAGGTGGCTAAACGAGACAAACTATTTATTTTATGTCATGCACGATGTTAAACATAATAAAACAAAATATTATGTATGTTTAGGTTGTGCAGTAAACATGGATAAAGTACATCTAATGGACGAGCAACACGAGCCGGTCCGGAGCCGTCGCTTTGTTATGTTATCGCTTCCAAATTTCATACTGATTGTCTACGTATATTGCGATTCAATAGATTATCACAGTTCGATTTCATTTTGCTTTTATAATCGTAATTTATGGTCCGGAAGGAAGAGCTGTGACAGATGACAAATAATAGGGATTAAAGAACAGCAGATAAGTAAATGGAATTATTTTTCAATCAATAGTTAATATTTACCGTTGATTAATGTATGATATTTAGTTGATTACGTTGAATTATTATAAAATATCTTGACGAAGTGCAAGTGTACCATACACAGTAGTTTATCTATTAGAATTTCTATTAAATAACAGCTAAATTCGAATCAAATATATTGTTAAATCTGTCAGAACTCCTCCTGAGACGCGGCGTGTACGCCACGACGTCAGTTAGACAGCATGAACTAGCTAAGGTACCCGCGCTAAGTCTAATTCTAGGATAATGTCTTTCTTTACAGCCAGCTTAGAACCAGTAGAGGTCCTTCGACGTGTCCTGCACCTGTGCCTCCAGACCTGCCGACAAATATTGTAAATTGTATTATAAGTTAAAATGACATTCTACCTTAATCTATCTACAACGAAACTTTATTGTATATTTTATATTTTATCATTTTTCTGTAGGGCCAATTTAGGGAATAAGCACCCATTTGTATGTTTGTTTGTGTGTCGGTCCAGTGAGACCGGTCCGATTTAGTTAACAGTTCAGAAAGCTCTAAAAAATAATAATTTTAAAGTACCTATCTACCCGTATTTAGGTAGGTATAACTAATTAAAATTTTGTAGTTAATAGGGATTGTGCGTGTTTTTGTATACAATAGCTTACATTGTTATATAATTGGAAGCAAAATATCCAGCTCCAAAAAACTAAAATTTAGTAAAAAAATATTTTAAAAATATCATACAGATAGGTACTGATACCTACTATAAACGCCAACTATTTGGGTGCGCTCGGCGTGACGTCATAGTCTATGACAATATTGCAATCAACGAATGAACAGGTCTAGATTATAAACAACAGCGCTTTATTATAATAGACTTTGACCAATGGTTTTGCGTTTCATCCACTTTGGAATTTGGATTTCTCACCTATACCTACCTACCTATTTGCAATTTTTAATAATTATTTTCTTAATCAAAAAAAATTACATTTAAAAATATTAATAAATGCTTAATTCATAATCTACCTACCTAAAGGTTATAAAAAACACCTTTATTTAAACACACACGGATAGTACTATTCCCTATTAGGTATACAGGAACATAATTGTTATAAACTGACTTAAATAATTTAGTTTCATGAATATTATTCAATTTTAAGTAGATATTTACACGTGGGCAACGAGTTTTAGGTAGGTACTAAGTAGCAACATTATCGTATGTAGGTGCATAAAATATACCTAATAATAATCTTTGTATTGTTATTACATTATATGAGAATAGACGTATAATTATTATGTATGTAAGAGTAATAGAAACAAAGTGAACGTCCCGCCGGAGCCGGGCGCGCGGCGCGGCGGCGGACTGATAGCACGTCACTGTGATTGTTATAAATGACCCGCGCGCTCTTATCTCCGCGCAGCATCGGACACGTCTCGCATCAGATATCTTCCAATGAAACAATACCTACATATTATCTACTCGCCATACTAATATAAAAACCAGATAGCGTCGCTTGTACGCGTATTGCCTTATTTGCCTGCCTCTGTTACAATAACAATTGAATTGCGTGAATACTTAACTGATGCGTTTACCTCGAAGGTAGTTTTTTCTAAACAATATCTTACTATAAGTATAGAAATACTTTTAAAACATCGTTGTAAACGTTGCTTATAATGATAAAAGCTGTCTGGCTTGGCTTAAGTAGGTATAGGTATGTAAACGGAGTTCATATTGTCCTCCAGCTATGACAGACACTTGATTTTTTCTAAATTTTAATTCCACCTACGTGCTTATGTAGAGTTCTCGAGTAATAACCATGTAGAGTTTATAAAGATAAAAGATAGGAAGATAATAAGTACCTATGTTGGTTGTGTTAAATTAATTATTTAATCATATCATAAATCCCTGAACCAAGAACATTTTACTTGTTACTTAAAGTGACAGCAGGATATTATTTATAGTAGGTAGGTACAAACTGAAGATTCTCCTATATGTGGAATAGACGAGTGACAATAGAGGCATTAATTAAAGGGACGACGGCCGGTTAATTGCGGGCGGCGGGCGGGCGGCGGCGGCGGGCGGCGGGCGGCGGGCTAGCCGGCGGGGTGAGGCTGGTCTGCGTAATTGACAGCGTGATTTACTGCGACACCCTCTCCCTCCGCCTGCCCGGCGGCGACCACGCGGCCCGGCTATCGACCGGCGCGAGGGGCGGGACCGGCGGGGCAGGCCAGTGGTCAGCGCGGCGCGATTGGCGCGGCCGGCCCCGCCCCCGGCCGCGAGCCTGGTGCCGCACGCCGGACACCGGACATTTTGTTCACAGAGACACATTCCGACCATCAAATCTATCACTGTTTATTCGAGCCCCAGTGTACTCGTACCACCGCCTACTGCCGATGCACCTCCTTGTATCGCCCGAGCCCAGGTTCGAGCACATTAACTGTCATATTTACTATATTTCGAACACTGCTACAAATCTCTTCTCTCACAAAAAGCTCCATCGACCGATGATTTAGTGGTTTTAAAACAAATATTCTTTAAATTTTATTTGAAAGTCTTAAAACATGAAAGCTATACCTAGCTATATGTAGGTAATACCTATAGGTACCTACCTAAATCAAACGAAAATTTAATAACAGTTATAGTGATTAGGTACATCTAAGAAATACCTATGATGGATGTCATTTAAATAATAAAACTCCAGAGTTCGTTAACACAGAAGTTAAATAGAGGAAGGAATTCATCTTTATTTGAAAATACTTGTATGATCGTTATCAAATAGTACGTAATCATATACCTAATAACATACCTATATGAGCATGAAAAATATAGGTATAGGTATTTTATGTAAGTATCTATATTTTGTATTTTATTTTTTTATCGGAAGAAAATTCAACTTTAAATCTAAGACGATAGTGAATAGTAAATTGAATGAATATGATCGGGGACAGATTACAATGAGGCATTTCATCATCATTAAGGTCAGGGTAGAGGCCGTCTACGGTTCGTCGCCATCCCGGTCGGTCAGAGCTTCGCGCTTCATGTCGTTCCAGGTCTTTATCCCTATCGCCTTCGTTTCTTCAATGATTGAGCGGCGCCAGGTTTGCTTAGGGCGGCCACGCTTACGCTTTCCATGGGGATTCCAGTCTAGGGCTTGCCTAGAAGTTCAAGATTTGACTTGGATAGTTTTTACCTACATACAAGTTAACTTTTAATCAGCTAACCACTTAAATCTTTTTAAATAAATCTTCTTTATGCTATACGCAAGTTACTGTTTTTATATTGTAAGGTCAACATGTCTCAATCTTCTAAAAACTTGCTTTAGTGGTAAAAACTAGCCAAGTCAAATCTTGAACTTCAATTTATCCTAAGTTATCTATCTACTCTTTTTTTTAAATAGCAAACACTTTTTCAGCAAAAAAAAACAATAAATTGTGTTTTAAATTTATTTTAGAATGTTGTATTTTCTTATAAAAAAAAATCAGGATTATCTACAGAACTTGGCACCCATTTAGATATCAATTCTGTCGGTGAAATTGACAACCACGTAGATACCTATACCCATTCTTAATATTGGACTTGGCTCCTATTTTCATATTTATGTTTTTATAGGTAGGTAATGCTCTAAGACATCATACGGTATCGACATATTGAATAGGACAATAGACACGAGACAACGAGAAAAAAATTATAAGTCATAATACCTATATTTAATCTGAATTTATATATTACAGAATTTGTGTTTGTGCTGTTCTCAACTGTTGCTTGTTCCTGTGCATAAGTTCTGTGAAGGCTCTTAACAATACAATTTTACACAATAGGTGGACATCACGCACTTGGATTTAAAGCAATATCTAAGTAAACCGTAAACCGTAAATGGAGCATAATGTGTTTCATTGAATCTGTTGTACTTCATAATCACTCAGTTCAAGATTCTTATTCTTTTATAGTGCTCAGATATTATTTTTTTAAATATAAATCAACACCGGCCAAAGCGCAAATCTAGGACAAAAACTGATCGTTAATTTTTAATAGCTTGTTAAACTAATGTTGCGTAAATCTCTCTACGCAGATAACTACTAGTACCTACCTAAGATACCTACGTAGGTAGGTAAGTAATTACTTGGATCGAACCTTAAACAGAAAAAATACTTGTACGATCGCAACCACAAATGATGTCTCTTCGAAGCAGGCGGGAGATACTTGATCTGTGTTTCTTGCACAAAGTAATCAATTACAAAGTCAAGTGCAGCAAGCTGCTTGAACGAATTCCCCTATCAGCACCAAGTAGATATCCTCGCTATTGCAATTCTTCTCAAAAAACATTCCATATACCTTTCGCTAGAACGCATCTCGGTAAGCAATCTCCCATAGCTCGCATATGTGCTAAATATAATGAAATATCTCGAGCTCTGCCTGGCATCGACATATTTCACAACTCATATGATGTATTTAAAAAAAAAACTCACCGATCATCTATCGGTGAGTCTTCATTTACATTGAAATAAATATATATGTTTATTTTTTTTTCCTTTTCCCCCCCTTAGTGTTTACATGTATTTGTTGGTGAATGTTATGTACACTAGTTATTGATATACTTACATATCAGTGTGTGTTACTTTTCAATTTTCTTAATATGTTGTGTGTTAATGTTAAATATGTATATTGTAAGTGTGCTTATAAAATAAATAAATAAAATAAATAAACCATAATTAGATTATAATATTTTCTGATATATATTTCCACGAGAATAAAATAAAAATAACAAAACATTCCTATTGAACAAACAGTTCAATTACGCACTCATTAGCCGCAGGGGCGGGGCGGGGCGGGGGAGGGCGGGGAGCTACCCGATGCTGCCCGGACGCGGCGGCTGGCATTGCTCATGTATGTTTTTACGTGTAATAATAACACCTACACTGGTTTTTACTGCAAATATCATATCTACCGCATGCCTCGAATTCACATAACTTTGCACGCTTTGATATAATGTACACTATAACGTTTAGTCTTCATAGCGTTTACTTCACAATACATCATGGGTATCATGTAATGGCACACAATATTTATAGAGCGTGCTCAATTCTAAAGTATAAATATTTTTTAAATACAAAAAAGCAAATTGTTCATAAATATCATATACCTAGGTATTATATGATAAATATCATATGATATTTAGCTCTAAAAAGTGAACTGGACCAAGAGACTTCTTTATTATTAAATTAAGTATACCTAGTATGCCTATCCTACATATTATGTACCTATACCTAGTAATATTGATTATTCCTTGTTTAATTTTGCTTTTAGTTTTACCCGGGCGAAAAAGGAATGTGATTCTTACGTCAACGTAAGTTTTAACCACGACGATTTATTAAGAAGTTTTTAATTTTATACTACTATAATACTATAATTATATAGGTACCTACTTAGATATATCAGAACTAATAAGCCGTACGGCTAAAATTCAATAAACAAAACTGTAAAATGTCATATTAAATGATTTTTGATAAGGATAATAAAGTCTTGGGACTGTCATCACAGCCGAGCGTTCACAGCACATCGCTTTAGCACTAACTTCAAGACTCGTTTCACAAAACTGTTGTGCTGTTATACCTTGTCAAAAGGCTATCTTACCGACTTGAGGACTTAACCGCCGCGACCGATGAACACCGAACCATTTAGGCTTAAGTAGTCATAGCTATTAGCTATATTTAATTTAAGGCCAAGGATTGAAGTGTTGAAGTGAGTTTTGCTTAATCCGATATTTCTTTTTGAAAACGCCGCGTAATAAATTGATAAATTCTTAATTTTCCTTAACATATTTCCGCTTCCGGAGTCGGGTCGTAATTGTTCAATAATGCAGACGTATTTTGGGGACAAGTGACGCAAACCGCGCAAGCAAAGGGTCGTGCATATTACGCAATATGTGTGCGTGGAGCGTGACGTCGGTGCCGCCGCCCGCCACCCCGCGGGACACACCCTTTGTTTGACACACGCATTCTTGCCGCCCCAGGCCTGCTCTTGCATTCCTTACTCTAACCAATATGTGAACTTACCTACCTACCTATAGCTACCTCATAGCTATTGTAAAAACACTTAACCAAGCATTCAAATATGTAGGTACATATGACGAAGATCTCTTAAGAAATGACTGAGATATGTACCTAAATAAATACTAGTTTAAAGTTTTCGCTCACATCAAAATATGTAGTTCCTGTAGGTATCAACCCACTTAGCACGCAAAATAGGCGCATAGTCGCCGAGTTGCGGAAACTAGCCCGAACATACCATACCATACCATCGATCCGCTTTTTATAAGATAGGTAGGTAGGTAGGTAGGTAGGTAGGTACCTACGTTTGGAATTTTCTGTGCTTTTATTGGTGGTAAGTGATAACCTACTTGGCACCGACCTTTCATAAACACATTATTACATACTAGTAAAATATTTTATTTTTATTTTTCCCTGACAAAAACACCAATATTATTATAATTTTTAGTGCTAAGCCAAAATTCAGAATAAGCATCTTCCCCTATTTATTTAGAATGTTCTTCCATCTCGATAAATTGCAATGGCGTATAGACGAGGTCGAGCCCGAGCGGGCGGGCATCAATCAGGCGCGGGGCGCGGGGCGCGGGGTGCGGGCGGGCGCGCGCGAGGGCGAGGGCAGCAGCACGCGGGGGAGGATCTCAAGAATTTAATTTGGCAGCCCCTCACCGCGCAAATTAATTTTAATCGTCGTCATTAGAGGAGGAGCCGCCATTACGAGCTCTTTCAACTCGCCGCGAAACTTTTTGCTGCCGCTTATAATCGCGTCCCGTCCACCGTCTATGCCGCGCTAGCCTCCGTCCGCTGCACTATACCGTGTCACAGTCGAGAAATGTTTTTTCATGAGAGCGATGTCCGCAGATAACATTAACTACACAAAGGAGCCGCCGGGCAAATTATCCTAATCAGTGATCGTCAATCGTTAGCAAGTTATACAGATAAGACGAGCGGCCTCGCGCCGGGATGCGACGAGACAGCTCCAACTGATAAATGCCAACTTCTCAACTCGACAGGAGCTTATCTCTTGTTGTTTACAATATTTAAATACGACACTCAGCAGCTGAAAAGCCACAGTATTTATATTACGTAAATTAAGAGGAAACGCAACAAAGCGGTGTTTTGTTTTGTCACCGGAATAAAGCCCCTAAATCATCACAATTAAAATATCTGCTCTCCGCGTCGACGGAATGTCTTTGAAAATCAAAATACACAAGAGAGCCCGAGGAGGGGCAGGCGCGGGGGAGGGCCGGAGTGCGGGGGGTGGGGGGCGCGGGGGAGTGAACGGGGGCTGAAGGCGGCGCGTTATTTATTGTATTCTTTCATCGCGTACAACAACAATGTCGCCGCTTTGATTCGGCCGTCGCCGGGAAAAATGTGATCAGTCAATGGCAATAAAATTAATGAGAACGACCATAAAACGACGTCGAGCGACGAGCCCGCAGCTACCACTTCAACTATGCTGTTTTGTTGCGACAATAACCGTATATCTATCAACGTATAAACGTTCCTAGGAAAGCTCAAGCTGCAGGTCGTAAATATGAAGTGTTCAAGAATCCATGTAATGTCTTCAGCTTGTACCATTGTATTGTTAACTCAATATGCCTTATTAATATTATTAAGAATGTTCACCTAAATATTATTAGATACATAGCTACATAGGTACATATGCCCAGACTTATGTAATGTTACGCGGCTACCGTGGATACTTTACTGCAAAAATCTCCAATAGCTACGTTTTCATTTCTTTTAACATGGCTATGAAATATTTTTTATTGTTTTTATGTTTTAAACTTATTCAACGACAATTGTATAAAATAACCTATTAAAAAATTACGCATATTTATCAACCATTAGTGTACCTATCTATTTTAACCGACTTCCAAAAAGGAGGAGGTTTTATGTTTGTTTGTATGTATGTTTTTTTATGTATGTTCACCGATTTCTAGGAGGTAGCTTGACCGGTTTTGCTACTTTAAACGGTATTGTATTAGGATAGGTCCCGAGGTGATCCCATAAAATTTTCTTTAATTAATTTTGACATAGAGTATGCACCGAGAAAATAGGAAAAATCATGAAATTCAATGTCCACAGATCTAATTATGTAATCTTTTTTACCTACTTCTAATTGTCATATCGACATGGAACTTTGCAAGTTTTTGTATTTCTGATGATAATAGGTAGGTATAGTTATTTGGTACCATCGAGCTGATTTGATGGTGAGGCCAGAAGATGGACAGTGGACAGACAAAATTAATATTTATTCAAATTTTTAGGTTTTTCTTAAAAAAGACGCAAGTTTGACAATCATAAGTGTCCGGGTTCGAATCCCGGTCGGATACAAAGATATACCTTTTTAACCAAAAAGCGAAGGTCGGTGTGGCCCAGATGCTTAAATTATATATTAGAGTTCATACTTTATCATAATTAACTATTAGATATTAATATCTTAAAGCATTGTCGGCTGGCACTGACTTCGAAGATATCTAATTAGGTATCTATTCTCGTAGTAAGTAAAAACCCCCGTTCAAATATTTTTTACTTTTTAGTAGGTAGGTACCTGGAACTCGGTTTTATTATTTATATTCTTTTGGATTTACATATTAGGTATCTTCTTTATATTTATGTACCTACATATTATCATAATTAGCAGAAACATTATAGGTACTTAGATACCTACATACTAGGTACTACACATAGGAAATCGTCGGACGGGCACTAAGTTTTATGTAGATGCACTAGTCACTAGTCTTAGTATAGCGAGTAATGAAGTAGGTACCTAATGATGTTAACAGTTGCGGGTGCTAAGCTGGTGGCGTGAGACAAAAGTTGGGCAGGCAGCCGTGTCGAGGTAACATTTTACTGTTACACTATATTGTAGGTGCACTATACTACTAGTGTGAGCATGTATGGTTTAGTGTAGTGTGGTGGGTAGTGGGTACTGACCGGGCGGCGCGGGGTAGGAGTACGGCGAGCAGGCGGCCGGGTCGAGGTGCGGCGAGGCGTGCGCGTGGCCCCAGTCGACGGGCTTGTACTGCGCGTGCAGGCCGCCGCGGCCCAGCAGCAGGCCGCCGTAGCCCGCCGCCGCCATGTTGTGGTGTGCCGCCGCCGCGTGGTACTCTGCTGCGTGCCGGTGCGCCGCGTGCCCGTACCTGCGCACACGCAATGACACATTCATCCATAAGGCGGCCGATTTTACTGACACTAGCCAATTGCGCACGAGATATTATACCCAGTGTACAAGTGTACGCGCAGACACAACGTGTACACTCTGCTCCTGTCACTCTCATACTCATACATCCGGGCTGTTACTGAGACTTCCTTAACAGAACGACTCAATAACTAAACTTGGCTCGAACCTGGACTTGAACCTCTTGACAAAACTTGACCTCCGGTTCCGCAGCCCCTAGCTACTAGACCACAGAAGCAGCATTACAGTCATACGCAGCCCATCTCTACGTCGAAAATCGACACAACAAATACTACGGATATTACGAGTGACCTACTCTCTATTCGTATCACAAAAATTATGCCACTATGAAGTTCTTATAAGTATTTGTCTGTCCAGTGGTCGACCAAAACAATAAAACCTATCTAATAATGACTAAACATATGTAGATGATTGACGATCCTAGTTCAGAGGGACACAGTTGTAAGACTAGTACCTACCTAGGTAGATTCTGTAGGTCTATACCATCACGATACCAGCCAAGCAAAATAGCAACGAGGAATAGGTACAAACTGTTTTATTGCATTTAATTGTAACTTGGTTTACTACCTATACTTTATAGGTAAAGTTTGTTATTTACTTGTCATTATGTCACACTAGCCATGGTCATGTGAGACAGATACTGACTGAACTAAACGAAAAATAAATGAATTACACATAAAAGCGCCAGGGTCCCAGCAAACCTCCGAGGGCTTATATGTAATTTTATTGGAAGAACTATACATATAGTGCGGATCCTACATATAATAATCACACTACCTATCCCACAATCAATGCATTTTTGTGGTACACTTTATTGAGAAACTATCACACTTACAGGTTTGGGCTTTGACATAGTATTCTCTATTCATGTCTAGATGTGTTATCAAACATAAAAATATTATTTTATCCATATTAAAAAATAGAACATATAATAATTTTCGTTAATTAGATTTTTAATGTATTACCTACTAACGCCATCTGTTAGAAAACTAAAAAAATACTTTTATAATAGGAATGGAGCATAACTTGACAATTAGCTTTCGCGATTACTTTAGATAAGGCCAGTTGTAGATATTGAAGATAAAGAAACATCTATTGGTTTAAAATAATATGTAGCGTTTTGAAAAGTAAAAACATTTGAAGGATTAGCGTTATATTATAGATTTCCTTATAATAGATTAAGTAATAAATAAGTAATATTAAAAACTTATATGTATGTATGTATGTATTCAGCCCTTTTTAACGTCCCACTGCTGGGCACGGGCCTCCCTTCAATACGAGGGGGATCAGGCCATAGTCCACCACGCTGACCAAGTGTGGGTTGGCGGACTAAAAAAAAAACTCGTATACCTATTTTAAAATGTAGAAAACAAGAAGAAATTCGTTTGAGAAATTTTATATTTGGATGAAAGTAGCAGCATTAAAAATAACGAACAAACTTCTTACTTTTATAGATTGTTATTGTTATTTTATTCGATGAAATAGAAATGAATAAAAATGATTTGTCATATGAATTATTTACAGAAATCCATGTTATAGTAATCGATAAATAAAAATAAATTCTCTTTAAAAAACTGCCTTCAAAATTACTAGGTAGAAAACTTCGCGAGCCCTCCTAATGCGCCGCTTTTTTGCTAGTGTATAATAATTTTATAACTTATATAGTTTAATTTACAATAGTTCGTCTACGTAGGTAGGTAGGTAACCTACCTAAATGATACACAAGAGTATTATTATTATTATACAGATCTTAAGATAAAAAATAACATTAAACTTATTAAAAAAAACCTAACGGTAAATGTTGTTTTAAAATTTATTATTAATCTTTTTTAAATGTAAGTATGTCGAATGTTATTTTGCTTGCGGCGCGGCAGCAAATGGGATAGATCGTGGATAAAATGTCCTGAATAGGTAGATATAGGTTAGTGATTGGAACGTTAACTCCGAGTTTCACACAAATCCGTTAAGTTGTTGTAGTGTCAAAAATGAAGAAACTCATACATACACTAACTCATACACACAAAAACATTTATACTATTAAAAAAACTGTAGGTTATAGGTAACTGTTCTCGCTCTCTGTTCGCTTCCATGTTCTCTGCTTACGGAAGAACATATTTTTATTTTATATTAATTATCATTACCTATTCATATATTGAAACAATATCATGCATATTACCGATAGGTTATTTCTAAGAATATTTATAATAAATTAAGTCAGTAATTAAAGCATTCCGTAGTCGAATATGGAAATGTATTATAATAAAAGGGAAACGAAGCATGCGGCAGACTTGTCGGACGTCGGTAGCCGCGTAGCGGAAAAGCTTAATCTGGTCTAGTTAAGTCACTATACCACCTATAGGCACCTACTATGACTTATATATCTTGCTATATCTATACAAAGGATTTAACTTTTAAAGAAAGACATGTTAGCTAAAGCAATCTATACTATAATAAAACTGTAGAGGTCGAATGTCTGATCATAGAAAAATAATGCTAAAAACCGAGTCAGGGGGGTGTAAGAAGACAAACAGAACAAATCTAGATTTTTTAAATATTTTTTTTTCTGTCTGTTTATCTGTTTGTCTGTTCTCCGAATCTATTATACTGATTTAAATGAAATTTTGCATGGTGGTACCTTATATCGATGGTCAACAACTAAGATACTTTTCATTCCGGAAAATTAAAGAGTTCCCGTGGGATGGTTAAAAAACTATAGTAACTTATACAGCTTAGTACACAACAACTTATGCACCTAATTTAGTAAAATTTGGCAGGCTAATACCTTATATTGCCGATCAAATAACAAGTTACTTTTCATCGCGGAAAAATGAACGGTTCCCGTGGGATAGACCTGTTTATGCTTTTCTAGAGGCGAACCCGAGCGAAGCGAGGGTGAGCCGCTAGTATAGACTATATCAATGTACGTGCATATTTCTTAAAACATGCAGATCTAAAAGAAAACTTAAACACAGAAAAAAGGGGACTGATAGGATTTATTCTTGTTTCAGTCTAAATTTAACACATGGAGGTGATGTTGTGTAATATTACATCAGGTACAAATGAGTATTTACCCCGCATAATGTTGGTGCCACGGGTCGTAGTCGTACAGGTCGAGGCCGGCGCAGGCGGGGCCCGCCGCCGCCGCGTTGAAGAACGACGCAGGCAGATTGCGCGACGCCATCGGCACGCCCTCTACACCCATGCAACATAAATCACATTTAAGTACATAGGTACATACAAACATACATTCATTAATTACCCATTAATATGTAGGAAAAACATCGAGAAAGCCGGAAAGATATAAACGGTAATTCTTAGTGAGTAGTCTTTCTAGTTTCTACCTGACCATACTCGTAAGTTATAAGTAGGTAAAGCATGTAAACATTCTAAGACATTGCTTATAATATTTAAATGCAAGAAGAGATCGATTTTATTCAATAGTCTCGTGTACCAGCGGCTTTCATTAACAAAACAGTTGAACAATTAATTGCTTATGAGGAATTCCCGCGCGGGCCTGGCATTCCTCGCCGCCTGTCGCCGCGACGCGCGCTGGACGCTGGCCAGGTAGAAATGAGCCGTTAAATTATCTCTAAGTACACCTATATCTATTTTCATCACATCTTTAAAACTACTACAATTGTATTTTATCGTTTGCCTGTTCCTTTATTTGCAGGAATTGTTTGAATAAAAAGTTTTGCGTATAGATACCTATCTATCTATCATCGCACGAATGTAATAAAATATATAGAATAGTTAATATCAAATAATACCGGGAAATCATAACCACTTTTAGTTAAAAATTAAAAACCAGTCATTTATTCATGGTAACCGCAACTGACATACATTACCTATACCTATATGTAGGTACTTAAGCGACGAAAAACGTAATCAATTATTATAAAATCGATGAAGATATTACGGAATCAAAGAGACATAAGAATTATTTTTAATGTGGTAGGTACCTACTTATATTATATTTCACAATGCCTTTTATGTAAATATTACAATTAGATACAGCAAATAACAGTGTTTGACATATTTACCTACTTAGTTCCTTGCAAGACTCTCGATAAAAATAAAGAGTATAAACTTATATACACAGCTTTAGCATTAACCAACGCAACGTAACGATCAATAGACGCTTTAACAAAGGATCGTAGGTAAATTGAGACAAAAAGAATGCAAAGTCTTCCAACGAAAGAATGGCGAAGAACCGCGGCCCGATTGTTATAAAAATAAAATGGCCACTATTAGGTACACAACGAGTTGACACTATAAAGAGGAGATAAGAGATCAAAGCGGGCCTCGCAGGTTCCCAATAACTCCACATGCAATAAAAGAACTTCCTTTCTTGGAATGCGGCCCGTGGGAGCGCCCGCGCCCGCCGCCGCCCGGGAGACTGTGACTCTACACAGCTTCGCTTACTTTACCTACAGATCTTACTGCTTAGATGGTACCTACCCAGAGTAATGAGCCTACCCGTCGGAAGTAGTGCCTGCCTTTCTACCGCCCTGCCGTGAGCTAATAGGTAAGTTAGATGTGAAAATGTTATCTGCCCATTATTACAATATTATTTTTTTGGGTCGCGTAGGTTTTGTTATTTTTTATCTTATTGGTTTTTAATGCTATAGAAATTCACCTACAAATGGTTATTTTTACTGACAAAAGGTAAAAGGGACGCTTACACTTGAGGAAACCTGCATGTCTGAGAGAACCTAGCAAGTTTTCAAAAAACATTTCATGTCCGCCAACTCGCATTTCCTCAGCGTGGTGGACTATAGCCTGATCCCCCTCGTATAAGGGAGGCCTGTGCCCAACAGTGAGATATTAAAAACGGCTGAATAATGAATACATATTATTATGATTTTCATACAACTTTATACAGGTTTAAAATAAATTAATACAAAAAGTTGTCAGTTGTATCCAGCATTTTAATGGAGGATTAAAGTTACAAAAAGATTCCTACATTAATACAATATAGACTCGGATAGTACATATTTTGCGTTGACATTCTACTGTACAGAGTAATTATTGCCATTTATTAGAATAAATACATCATAATTACATTAAAGATTTATTTCTCATTATGGAAGTACCTAATGGTTACGTTTTCCTTCTATAGTACAATATACATAACTCACAGCCCACGCAGATGACTACTGTATTGAGTTTTTAGCAATCGAGTCAATTTTACTTAAGACTAGTTGCTAGCGACTCACTCTCGGTCCGCTCGGGTTCGTCCCTACTTAAGTTTTAACGTTTAGTATAGATTTCTTAGAGATGAGATATATTCCCACAGTAAAAAGTATCCTATATATGTTGGCCCGGATAACCAGCTACCATCATACCAAATTTCATCAAAATCCCTCCAGTGGTTTTCCGTGATGCGGTAACAGACAGACAAACAAAAATTCTAAAAACTATAGATTCAGCCTCTGTATCGATAATGATGTTCTCCTAGCCGATTCCGGCTACGGCGGTCAATCTTATTGAGACTAGCCAACTGCGCAGGAGATATTATAGTGCACAAGTGTACGCGCAAACCAACGTGCACTCTCTATTCCTGTCACACTGATACTCCGGTGGGACGACTGCTCCACAACGACCAGTGAGAGTTAAGGCGCAGGACGGACCGCTTTACGTGCTCTCCGAGGAAAGGGGGTGAAACAACGCCAACTTCCCAACTCCGGGCTGTTACTGAGACTTACTATACAGAAAGACTCAATAACTAAACTTGGCCCGACCCGGGACTCGAACCCAGGACCTCCGAGTGTGCAGCCGTACATGCTAGCCACTACACCACCGAGGCAATTGTATCGATAATAATATCTATTTCAATAAGATTTTCCAAAAAATATACAATGTACAGATTAGACTCAGAATTTTATTATATGTATAGATAGGTATAGGTACATAGGAAATGTCAGACTTCAGTTAGGAATTCATGATATTTAAGTGGTATTCGTGATTCTGATTTATTTGCACAAATTAGTATCTTGTCTGTGTAATACATATATTTAGTGTACATATACTTACTAATAGGTACTAACTAACGATATCCTTAAATAATAATAATTAAAGATATTATTTAGCTTTTAATTTTTTTTTGTTAAATAAGTAGGTAGGTATACTTAAATGTATGTAGTTTTCAATTAAATGCCTTTATTTTTTTGTAAATTATGAATTGATCCATTAGTATGAAATAACTAATAAATATTTAACACCATGTAGTTTTTAGAGTCTTCAGTTATAAGTATTTTTTGTGGTATTCGCATAATTAATGACTTATAATTACACCTAGGCATACATTTTTATCGGGAAGACTCAGTTATAAAATAGTTTAGATAACATCCTCACTATCTCTATTTGTAGCGGCAACCAACTGCAACCACCCCCCATTTTTTTTATCGTGATTTTATTTTTAGTATTTTTGTATAAACAATATAAATACATTATAACATGGCTGTATACATAAAGCCAAAAAGTTTTTTTTGTAGATTGAAAGCGCGCGTAGTCGCGGTTTCTGTTAGTTGTACCTAATATACATATATAATTTCATTAGAAAATATCTAACCAGACTCCGTTTCTTATAATAGCCAACATATTAACTGAAGAATCGTTCCGCAGAATCGCGAACAATACCAAATTAGAAATTAAATAAGAAATATAAATTGTGAATATTTATGAGGTATTAACATAACTAACAAAATATATGATGTATCTAATACATTCGCAGTGAATTCTATCACGAATGCGGCCGTCATTAGAGGAGGGCGCGGGAGACGAGCCGAGCGCGTGTTTTCGTCGGCGAGCGGCGGACTCAAAGGCTTCGGAGGGCTCGCTATGCGTTTTTACCGCGCGGTTCCTTTCGGTCGACATTTAAGTAATGGTACCCGTTTTTCCTCCGAGCTAATCGCGGCCGCGAAACTATGTCCCAGAACTCGGCCTCGCCGTGAATCCACAATTCGACCCACTTTTTGGTGCCGCGCCCGCGCCCTCCTTCACCGACCGGTTTGCGTTGCGTCATCGGCGATCTTTATTTTCTATTCGAATGCCATTCATATCCGATATATCGATAATTTTATAGATAGGTGTCCTTGATTTACGTTTATGACTTCCATTTATATATCTTACCCTATATTATACTACTTATGTAAAATAAATTATTATTATAAGTAGATAGGTAAAACGTTGAGCCAAATGAACTGTGATACTAACTAAAGTGGCGAGTTTTCGATCCGCTCCGGCAACGCTTCATTGAATTATTACTTAGCGGGTGGCTCTATTTCGCAATAAACAGTTTAATTAAGGCTACGAGTGATTTTATCTAGCGAGTGAAGTCGACGCGCGTCGCTGTTCTACGAAGTGCGGATTGTTTTTTGCGACCAATTCGCAGTATCGAGACAGATCGGCAGCGGCCGGAGCGGAGGACGAGTGGTCGTTAAGAAACGAGTCCGAGCTTCGTTCTGGGAGAGCGGGCTATGACCAGCGAGTACTTAGAAGCGACACGCGACAGCTGTACGCCGCGCGAGGCCGTGCGTTGTCGCCACAAGAGAAGAGCACATGAACAGCTCAATAAACGCAATCGTCGTAATAGGTTCGTAATCCATTTAAAGATACCTACTTATTTAATGTGACTATTTTGTACCAGTTTTCCTTAAAATGGCTTTATGCTTACCTTCTAATTGGTAAGTCAGGACACAAGCACTCTTGAATTGTAAAAAAACGAAAGTATAGTGCGTGGGAGCTTTGAGAAGGACACTTGCGCTTTATGCAGAATGTTGTATGTTAAACTATTTTTTATTTTTGAATGATATAGATATAGAGTAATTTGATCGAATGAAAAATAGGTAAAATTAAAAAGCCTTTTCGTGAACGATTTTTCTTGTGTTCAATAAGCACACGGCTGGATTAACTGATAAAATTATATTATTTATAATTATACATACAAGGGTACGTACTACCTAGTTATTTTAGTATTTATGTAATCTTATTCTATAATTTGTTTGTGTTTCCCTTTTACGGTTAAAATGAAATTAATAAAAATTAGTTTAGGCATCCCGGAATTTGTCGTAGTGGGGGGAAGTTCATTAGTGTCCGGCAACGCAGCCAGGCGCGAATCCAAGAGACACACAGGGAGGTGGCCCACTTTGGTGGTCGGTGTACCATGCGGGTTGTTCCTGGTACTTCTCTGACAACAAAGTGGCCCTGGGAGCAAATCCTTAGTTGTGTGGTCTGCTTCGACAGACCTGCCGTCGGGACGTCGTAGTTGAATGCGTAAGCGATCCTGCGACGGCCCATTAAGACGGGGGAGGTTATGTTGGGTTTTAGTGGGTAGTACTGGCCTTCTAGGCGGTTAGTCCCACATAACCACCTGTATGTATACAAGTGGTATGCGTAGATGCATTTCCCAACATTAAAAAAAGGACATTCCGGAATTCAAATATATAGGTAACCTAATATTTGTTATCATACATTAATGAATGGATGCGGCGGTTTAGATCTAACATCCTAGCCACATAGTGGATGTGTTCAGCACTTTTGAACGTCCCATTGTTAAGCATGGGCCTCCCTTCAATAGGAGAGAGATCAAGCCCTAGTCCACCACCCTGGCTAAGTGGTTGGCGGACTTCAGATGTCTTTCGAAAACTTGTTAGGTTCCGTCACCGTAAGATAAGTTGCAAGACCCGCTTCACTCGGTTACATAAGCGAGTGCGTTACCACTGGGCTACCACTGCTACCACATAGTAGATACTAAACACCCACGGTAAATAAACGCGGATAAAATCCCATATTATTTCATTCATGACATATTACCGTAACCTTACGCACAAATGCAACGCAAATATTACTTTTACTATATGGCTTAAAGCATGTATGATCTTACATAAATCAATGAACACAATAGTCATATTTGAATCGACAATTATAGTGTTATTTGTAACAAAAACTATGTTTTTTTATATAATGCTGTATTAATGAGTGTAATTAGCAGTCAGGCAGGGACGTGCGCTTCAATATTCAGCGAGTAGAAGTGGGAACGGTCCCGGGCCGCCGCGCGCTCGCCGCAAAAAATTGCGTCAATAGCCTTCATGCAATAAACATACTCCATAGAATCAATCGGTTGCGCGACACCCGCGCTCCCTCATCACACGCTACCCGAAGCCTCTACTTGATTTCATTCAACTCAGCCATGAATAAGTTTATGTGCGCACTTAGAATGTAGCACAAAAGAAAAATACGAAAATTGTTCCTAAGTTCAAAGTTTGAAAACGACAAATAGAGGAAGGTCAAAATTAAATTCCAACATTTACTCCCATAGTTACAATTGAGGCAAATAAAAGCATGTAAATATTATATAAAAGTATAGTATAAGTAATTTAAAGGGTTATGATAGAGCATTACGGCTATCGCTACGTTTTTCCCATGAAGTTGGTATAGTGAGACATACATACATTTTTGTATTTTCAGTATTTTTCGGATTTAAAAAAAAATTTTTTTGGTAACCCTTCTTTCACACATACACATATCTATTTACAGGGCGGTGGTGGAACCTGTAATAATGTACGCGGCCGCCGTATGGGAGCCGGCTGTAAATAAATTAGGTATCCGCAAGCAGCTTAACGTGGTCCAGAGGGGATTTGCACAGAAGCTATGCCGGGCTTACCGCACCACCTCCTTGAACTCGGCACTGTTGCTCGCTGGGATACTCCCCCTCGACTTGCGTGTCCGCGAAGCCGCGGCGCTGTACGGGGCGAGGAGGGGGGTGCCCCAGCGAGAGACAGGGGGTCGGGAGATTGAGCGGATGTACCCAGCGCTACAGTCACCTCACCCCGCCGAGCAGATCGACCTGGAGCTCAAGTGCCTGGCTGACCGAGATCAATTCATGGCCCATAGTGGCCATGATATTAACATCTTCACGGACGGGAGCAAGATTGAAGGCAAAGTGGGTGCGGCGCTATCCGCATGGAGCGGCGCTGCCGAAACTAAGGCCCTCAAGCTCTACCGTCCTTCTGCACGGTCTACCAGGCGGAGCTACTGGCGATATGCAGGGCGGCGCAGATGACTGCGGAAGACTCGGCCAAAACGTTCGGACTATACTCTGATTCTATGTCAGCACTGCAAACAATTACCAACACAGAAGCCCTTCATCCCCTGGCCGTCGAGGCGAGGGGCCACCTGAGGAGGGCCTTGCTCCAGAATAAACAGGTTAGTTTATTCTGGATCAAGGCCCACGCAGGCCTAGAAGGGAACGAGCGAGCCGACGTTTTGGCCAAGGAAGCCGCGCTAAAATTGAAGCGTGCCCCCGATTACGACAGCTGCCCGGTTTCATTCATCAAGCGGAGCATTCGCATGCGATCGCTTGATGAATGGAACCAGCGATACCAATATGGCGAGACCGCTAGCGTAACGAAGACGTTCTTCCCGGACGCGACGGCGGCATATAAGATAGTTGGCAAGATGGAGGTGGACAGGCTCGTCACCCAGATGTTGACGGGGCACGGCGGATTCTCCGAGTACTTGCATCGCTTCAAGTGCAAGGAGAGTCCGTCGTGCGTCTGCGACCCTGGATGTCCAGAGTCTGCCCTCCACGTTCTTTTAGAGTGCCCGGTACACGATAGAGACAGATATTATTTAGAAGCACAAATCGGATTAAAACTAGATAAAAATGCACTACCAAAAATTATGAAAGACAATAAAAAAAGAGATAAATTCCTGCAATACTGTAAAAAATTATGTAAAACTGTAAACAATAGAAATAAGAGTTAGTGATAATATGTTAAACAAATATAGTATAGTATATTAGTGGTAACATATATAATGTATAGTGTATATAAAGGATAAGTCTAATAATAAGAGCATATATAAATAAGCCTAAACTATAAATAAAAATTACCGACTACCCCCAATTATTATCCCCGTGTTACATAGTATAGGAACAAAGAAACTAAATAAAATAGATAGATAGATAGTTATTAGTTAGGAACGAATGCGGATGAATGATAGAAAGACATAGTATGCGGAATGAAAGTGCGAGAAGCATAAAAGCGAGAACTGGTATGAAAGAAGTAGAAAACACAGACTCCTTCCCCCATGTTGGAGGCTCAGGAAAAAAAAAAACCCTTCTTTCACTAATTAAAGGAAAGCGCGACGTGTCGGAGGGAGGATATTTCTTCGCGTTGGTGTGCTTTCCACAAGATCACTTGTTATAATTATGTGCGCAGAACGCTCCACTCACGCTGCATGTTACACCATTCAAGCTTTTTAAAGTAAATATTTTGATATATTGGTGAATAAAAAACTATTATTTTTAAGCTAGCAAGAAGAAAAACAAAAGGTGATAAGTTTAGAGATTTACTACGTTATGTGCGTTTTTTATTTGCAATCTTTTAGCAAGTTTTATGGGAACTTTCCTTTTAAAAGAATAGCAAAGTAAATACTAAGCACTTAATAGATAAGTATTTTTAATAAAAAAAATATATACTGTCGGTTTACTTTTTCATACTAATATATTTTTTTTCAACTTAAATTTTACACAGGAACTAGAGTAGAAGGTACCGCACACAAGCGGATACGGTACTCTTTACTAAGGTAGCTAGCTACCTACCTACGGTAGCAACTACCTACCTTGATGAATCGTGGTTAAAGCGTACCTTTAGGCTTGTCGAGAGACAGAGCCCTGGCAAAGTGCTCGTCCACGACGGCGGCGACGTCGCCCGAGTAGTGCGTGAACACCACGCAGTTGGCGCTGACGTACTGCGCGCGCGCACGCAGCCCGCCGCACTCCCCTTCCGACTCCGAGGAGCCGCCGCCTAAGACACACATAGCCAGAGATAAGGACAAACCTTCAACGAAATTATAAATTTTGCTTTCTAATGCAAGTTCTAGTTGCACAAGTTAATCGACAATAGTTAAATGTTTATGTTATAATTAAGTAATGTGGGGCTTGACTTATCTAAGTCCTTGAACTTACATATTAAGACAAGCCCCGTGACTTGTCATGTCCTAATAAGTGCAAATAGCGACAACAGTTCATTTCAATCAGACTTCTGTAGTAAAAAATAATTGTAAAAAATTATGTGCGTGTGTATGTGTGAGTGTATATAGGTATGTGAAGAGTGACAACTTTACCATGAAACGGCTCGACATATTTGGATGAAATTTATTACACAGAGACTATGAGCTAGAGTAAAACAAAGGCTACTGTTTAACATCTAGGGTGCAGCCACAGTAGTCGCTAGTAGGTTTTTTTTTTTAGCGATAACAACTAACAAAAATGTTTATAGTGATCTTATTATATCGTAAAACTTATACAATGAATTATTGTGAAGAAGGATATTTTAAAATTTGATGATATGAAGTTCTTTATATTAGTTACCATCGGCGGAGGCGCGTCCATGTGCTGACAGATCCTCCTCCTTGGTGCGCAGCCGAGGCGAGTGATGCGCCGGCGCGTGGTGGTGCGCGTGCGCGTGCGCGAGGTGGGCGTGGGCGTGGGCGTGCGCGTGCGCGTGCTGCGGCAGCGCGTGCGCGTGCGGCGGCGAGCCGGGCGACTGCGCGCCGGACGACGCCGAGCCCGAGCTGAGCGCGGCCGCGTTGGACACCGCACCGCCACCGTACTCGCTCGCATTGCCTGCGCTCTGTACGTTCAGCTGTCAACATATGTATATCACTATCATTACTGCTCAAATAACCTACTAGGCATACCTTACCTATAACGAGAACCTCATATGTTCCATATTTATTTTCATACTATTTATTAAGCGTTCAATAAAAAGCGACAATGAGTAGGTTGCCGGTAACTTTAATAAAATTTTATTTTATTTTTCTATATAGTCGCCTTTTGGCATAATACACAAAATATCTTTTTTCTAAGCTTAATATTACTTTCCGGCGGAACTCAAAAATCAAATCAAAAAATACTTTATTCAAATAGACTTTTACAAGCACTTTTGAATAGTAAATTTTACACTTTTTTTAATTAAATGTCAGTGTAGTCAGTCCGTCAGAAATCTAGGGTCTTCTTAGGTCTCTTCTTAGGTATTTTCCAATTCATATATAGACTGTAATTTTGCCAAGTTTCATCCATGGTTATAGATCGAGACAAAAAAGAATTAGGATCTTATTGTAACAATTCCAAAGAAGCTCCAGAAATGTTCAGCCTGATTGGATTTTGTGCAAGCTGGGATTGTTACTTATAAATTTTAATTATCATAATGCAAGTGCATAAAATTTTATTTGATAGTTGTTTTGGTTAATTTTTATAATATTGCTCAGGTATTTGGTATTCGGCTGAAAAGAAAAAAAGTAGCCGAATAATCCGAATACCGAATAATAGCGGAACATTCGTTATAGTCTACTCCTGACGCTGACCTATTATTAGGGAATCTCAAGAAAGCCTCAGTAAAATACTGAGGCCAGGTAACTCTGAAGGAGGAATGTAATATGTGGCTATTGCAAATCTACACTGCTCGTAATATTATAAAGAGGTAAAATGTGTACCTAAGCTTGTATGTACGGTAGGGTGGCCAACTTTTTGTATAAGAAATAAAGTATAGAAAAATGAACAGTACCTATAGAAAAAAAAATTAAATTTTTCAAAATATATTTTTTCGAGCTCCTTGCATAGTTTAATAATTTGTTGTCATTTTTTAAGTATCCTTGTGAAGACCTTAATATATAACTCCATTTTTGGCCAGTAAGTATTCATAATATCATATGCACTGATACTTAGATAATATTTCATGAACCACTTGAAATTGTATTAATTCTGAATATAAATTGTCAATATAATAATATTGAGTCTGTGCTAATTAAGACAATTATTTTTTTTAAATGATCGGTCACCACAGTATGATGGCCAATGACTGATCAATGACAGCCTTTAATGGCTCCGAGTCCAGCTATGATAAAAACAGTATTTTGAATACTTTTTTTTAACTGAACAGTAAAAAGTATTTTAGAGCTAAATAAAGTATAATACTGTTTTTAACAGTATGGTTGGTAACCCTGATGTGGGGGGTAATCTCTGAAACTGCTGATCTAATATGTTATAGGTTATATGTTTACATATTTAATTTCGATAAAAATAGGTTTATTGTCAAAAATTAGATAACTTTAATTGAAATCGGAAGAAAAGTGGCAGTTGAGTTGCTATAGGTTAGGTACCTATATTACCTATATATTGCCACACGCGTCTAAACAGTTTGTAATAAACCAATAAAGTGTATTACAACAAGACCTCTGGGGACCCACCAAGCGGAGCGGTGGTTAGACGCTAGTAGTAAATAAATGAGAACTAATTTGGTATTTTGCCTCATAAGCCGCCGTCATATAAGCTAGGCGCTAGTTAAATCAACGAGGCAGTGGCCCTAATTATACTCTGGCGAGTACCTATTCTAAGTATAACAATTTTTCCTTATAAGAAAATATGTTTTCTGGAATTTTCATAATACCGTGTATAACGTAGTTACTTAGTAAGTTGCAGGAACCCGAAAGGTACTTGTTGGTAATTGTTCTCAAACGGTATTTAAATCCAAATAAGGGCAAAAATATAATGTTTACAGTTTTGATACATAGATACATATCTATTAATTACGGGGAACATTCGATACTTCATAGTAATACGTGATTGGTAGTGAGCTAAAAGAATGTATCAAAATTATAGTGCGCACGCACATAGTAGGTAAGGATCTATGTACTCGCGTTGCGTGATCTTGCACTGTCCGCTATAAGTCGCCTCTCAATTCTAATGCATAAATCATTTAACATAAATACTAGAACGTGTGAATTAGACATACTAGTTGGCAGTCCTCGAAACTATTTAAACATCGCAAATACATCGTACATTACCATACATGCCATCTGCAGTTTAATGTGCCAACGTTTTAGCTATTAGGTAGGTACCTACTACCTAGACGTACTTAGATAGGTACACCCAAGACGCACATACCACAAACATAAAATGATTTATATTAATTCTTACCTGTCTATCTATTCAATAACCTATTCTATTAGAAATAAATGGTCATTTGTAGGTACAACACACATGTTAATTAATGTGTCTCCCTGTAGGAGAATGAAAAATATAATATGCTACTTATGAAAGATAATTGTGGTTCTATTTGGCGGTCCAAGTTTAAGGTATGGCAGATATGAAGAATATTATTAATATTTTCTACTTAGTAGTAGTATTTATATCATGTTTAATTAAACAATAAATTGGTTGGAAGTTAATCAAAAAAATGTTCACTCGTTATCAAATACCAACAATTATCCACTATTTAATAATAATAAACAATATAATACACTTTGCAAGACGGACACTGTCGAGTATCGTTTCATTTTGTAACATACCAACTGCCAGCACGGCATCTAATAACATTTATGAATTCCAGATCTCAGACCGATATGGCACCTCGCCAGTGTGTGTGTGTAAGGTACGAGTATATACTCGCAATCAACGTGTAATCATTATAAAAACTGTAGTAATTATTATGTTGATATGTCAATTTTAGCATTTTATAATGTTGTTATTGCTGCAGTCTCTGCAGTTTCTCATCAGAGTCATTCGCAAATCAATAAACTCGGTTTAAAATTTAATCGCTTAATCTAAATTTTAAACAAATTCTAAAATCAGATAGTTACCGGAAATGTTCTCGATATACCTACTACGTTCTTAAATAATAATTTATTTTTACATTTACATAGTTTAAAGGAAATAGGTATTAAGCTAGACTGTAATATTCGCTTTTCTACTTTTTTTAGGGCCTAAGTATGCCCCATGCAGATTCAAGACCCGATACTTATGAATTGTTTAGGATTCTTGTTTTATAGTTCCACATTTTGTGGAAAAGTCTTAATCCCACCACGACCGCGGACACACCGTCGGTCAGTTAACAATAGATTTCTTAGAATTTTAATTAATTTCTTAGACATTTATCTGGAGTGTTAATGGCAAGTAGCAAGCACTTATTGGAGGGTTTCAGATAATAAATAATTCATATGACACAAGTCAGTAAGACTTCACAAGATTGTGTAGGTACCTACTTTGTCTTCGATCTTGTAAATTTCTTAAAATCGAAGTAGGTATAATATTACCATGCCTATATCTTACAGGCTGGTACTGATATACATGTGATAATATATTATATAAGTATAATGAATGTTCACATCCCTTTTGTGAAAATCTATACATATTATAAAATAAAGTCCCCCGCCGCGTCTGTCCGTTTGTCTGAATGAGATAAACTCAAAAACTAATGAACGGATTTTCATACGGTTTTCACCAATAAATGGACTGATTAATGAGGGAGGTTAGGGTATATAACTCATTAAAATTTTGTGTAAATTGGCTGAAATATGACGATAATAATTGTTGAAGATATCAGAAAAAATAATGCTGACTGGAAGCTTTATTGGCGTGCGCCGCGTAAACAAATAAAGTTATATGAAAACAATGTATTACAGAATTATTCCTCTCAAAAATATCTTCCTATTAAACTGTAGCAACGCTACGGGCACTTACCCAGGGACAAGTCCGAGCGAAGCGAGGGTACGTCACTAGTAATAAATAAAATATGTCGTGTGTGCCCACAGCCGAAGAGCTTAGGACTGCATTTATTAGCTAGTTGATTGATTCTCTCTCGTGATTCATTTCCAAGAGTTATTTAATGAACCAGTCCGATGAGAGCGCTTCCACAAAGCCCTACCGTGCGACCCGCTCGCCCGCTCGCCCGCTCGCCCCGAGCGTCGAGCCCCGCAGTAGCTACGCGGTAGCGCGCGCCTTATTTACGTTACAGCCGTATTTATATGTAATTAGCTGGTCATTTATAATATAAATAATGCCTTATGCTGCCACCGTTCCGTTGCAGTAAAGTGTTTCGTAATCGCTAGGAATGCGCCTTATATGGCAGAGTTGCATCAATCATGTTCGTGAAATTACTCAATAAATTATATTATATTATGTACTTATATATTTTTATTATTTATAAAAGCAGTGAGCAAGGTTCTTATTATATTCCAATTACGATAAAAATGTTGAGATATTGATTTTTACGAGTAGGTATTAATCGTGCTTCATATGATGTAGTACTCGTACCTACTTACATATGTACCAGCGATCATCACTAAGGTACTAATTGGCCATAAAAAGTAATGTTGTGTATAAATTAAAACGTATTGAACTGCAAATATTAATATTTAAGTATTTTTAAGCAAATAATAATTATTTCTTTAGACTAGAAAAAATAATATCTAAGTAATTAATCAAAGTGATATAAGTAATATTTATTGAGTGCGGAAAAATAATGTCAACAGTCTTACGGCATTTATATTAATATTAATCGGAGTATCGAATCATCGATCGAGTATCGAACGGACGAATAAAAAAATATTCGTCCTTTATAAAATATACTTATAAATTATAAGGATGGACGAATAGACTAATAGATACCTACCTACTACCTACATAAGTAAGTAGAATAAGAAGCTCGGCTCAGCTCGGTAGGTTAAGTTTTTTTTTTTGCATACAGACACTCCAGCGCCTTAAAATCACTTTTTACACATACATTTTTGAACTTAAAAATCGTTGGGAATTAAAAGAATAAGTTTTCAGTTCGGTAGGTTAAGGTTATGTTTTTGCATATAGAAA